CCTAGTAGCGTCCTTGCTCCTAGTAGTGATGCCCTTTGCTCCTAGTAACTTCTTGCCACTAGTAAGGCCAGGAGCCCCTAGCGTCCTTGCTCCTACTTTCTTGCGATAGTCGGAGTTGGTATCTCAAAGTGGTTTGAGGAGCTGGGTGTGTTGCGAAACTTGATTGGTAAGGATACGTGATGTGGATCGTGAAGTGTAGATTTCGCGGCAGGCGCAGGACTTGGTGAGCCTAAAAGTGCAGATGTTGATAGATGTGGATAGGCACCGCTTTGTGAACGAAGTCCAGATTCTTTGGCGGCACTTCTGATCAGATTTGGTGGCAGCTCCTCAAAGCCAATTGTAAACCTAGAAGGCAATATAGCAAACTATATTAGACCTTCGCTACTAGGAGCTTGGACGCTACTAGGGGCTCCTGGCCTTACTACTAGGAGCAAACGACGCTTGAAGGACCTCGAAATGGCTCTTGTAGGAGACACAAGGTATTGCGTGGTGAACCTTCAAGTGCAGATGTCATGGCAGGCACATGAGGTTTGCTCCCATATGTATGTTCCATTATTTTGCACCCAAATGAGCTTTGCAGCTCTTGTGTTTGTTGTCCTCGCGGCATGTTTATTTCTTTCCCAGATTTCTTCCGTTGGGGGAGTCGAAGGTCCGTGGGGTTGCAAAGTTGTCCGAATCCAAAAGAGCAACTTTCCAAACTTTGCACTTGTCCCTAGTAGCTAGTAGCAACAAGTGCCTTACTAGTAGTAACAAGAAGCTATTAGTAACAAGTGCCTTACTAGTAGGAACAACTGCATCGCTACTAGTAACTTTGTTATGAGGGCATAGGCAACATATGTGAAAGTTGCCCGTGACGCTGCTTGGAAGGTGCCTCGTTACTAGTATCCAAACCTTCTTGTTACTAGTAGCTTCTTGCTCCTAGTAAGGCCAGGAGCCCGTAGTAGCGTCCTTGCTCCTAGTAGCGATGCCAGGAGCCCCTAGTAGCTTCTTGTTACTACTCAAAAGGCACTTGCCCTTGGCCTAGGCTGCGCGGCTTTCTTGCTCTGCCACTTGGCCTTGAAATTAGAGCGACTGGAAGTGCAACTTGCGCCGATGTCCAGGTGTTCACTTACTATTCTGCAGATGGAGGCAGGGGGAGCTTTCTATGAACTTGTTGCTTTCTATGTGACAAGTGCACCTCAACGGCCCAAGAGCTGTGCAAACGAGGAAACAAAGAAGCGGCGCTAAGCGGCTAGGGCCTCCAGGGCTAAGATAGGTCATGTGACATCAGTGTGTTCGATCGCTACTAGGAACAAGTGCCACGCTAGTAGTAACAGGTGCCACGCTAGTAGTAACAGGTGCCTTACTAGTAGTAACAAGGGACGCTACTAATAACAAAGGGCATCGCTACTAGGAACAAGGACGCTACTAGGAACAAGTGCCACGCTAGTAGTAACAAGTGCCTTACTAGTAGTAACAAGGGACGCTACTAATAACAAAGGGCATCGCTACTAGGAACAAGTGCCACGCTAGTAGTAACAGGTGCCACGCTAGTAGTAACAAGTGCCTTACTAGT